GGCATGTTCTGCAAGGAGCACTGGGTGTTATACGCAAACAATGAATCATGGAACACTACGTCAAAAACTAATGATGTAATATATGGTGACTAACATAATAAAATTAAAAAAAAAAGAGTGAACGGAGAAGTCAAGCACATCTGAGAAATGATGCTGTCCCTTCATTAGATGGCGGGGAACACAGGTGAACTTGGATGGTCTGGCCCCGGCGGCTGCTGGGAGAGCGAGCGGTCAGTGATCAGAAGGTGTTCTTGGGCCAGTGGGCTCTGTGCAAGGCCCCGAAGTGCACCCTTTAAACTGGCCTTTTTTTTTTTTTTTTAAGATTTTATTTATTTATTTGAGAGAGAGAGAATGAGAGAGAGCGAGTACATGAGAGGGGGGAGGGTCAGAGGGAGAAGCAGACTCCCTGTCGAGCAGGGAGCCTGATGTGGGACTTGATCCTGGGACTCCAGGATCATGACCTGAGCCGAAGGCAGTCGCTTAACCAACTGAGCCACCCAGGCGCCCAAAAACTGGCCTTTCTTACTTAACTCCCAGTTACCCGTTTTTCATTACTTTTGGGAGCTGGTTGTCTGCCCACAATATTCTGTTTTCCTCCTAAAAAAATGCTACAGTTTACGGAGCCCCGAGTAGCAGGTACTTGGCACGCAGGTCTTGTGTGTTTGTGTAAAGAGCAGTGTGGCCCCATAGCCACAGTTCAGATTTGTGTAACTCCCAGCGTGGTGCTTTGTATATATGAAGCACTTAAATATTTTTTTTAAAGATTTTATTTATTTATCTGAGAGAGAGAATGGGAGAGAGAGAGCATGAGAGGGGGAGGGTCAGAGGGAGAAGCAGACCCCCTTCTGAGCAGGGAGCCCGATGTGGGACTCGATCCCGGGACTCCAGGATCATGACCTGAGCCGAAGGCAGTTGCTTAACCAACTGAGCCACCCAGGCGCCTAGCACTTTAATATTTTTAATAAGTAAGTGAAGAAATGACTAGATGCCTAATCTCTGGGAGTGATACATTGCATGTCCAGTTTGGTAATTTTATTTTTTAATCATAAACTATTTCAAACATACAAAAAGCACAGAAAATTCAATAATTAACACCATGTATCCAATACCCAGATTTAACAAATGTGAAACTTTTGCCACTTTGCTTCAGATTTGGATAAAGAAATAAAATCTTATAGATACAGCATTTATAATAAAGGGAAAGGTGGAGAAATTAGTCCTTTTTTTTTTTTTTAAAGATTTTATTTATTTATATGAAAGAGAGCGAGTGCCTGAGTGGGGGGCGGTGGGGGCAGGGGGAGAGGGAGAAGCAGGCTCCCCGCTGAGCAAGGAGCCCAATGTGGGGCTCGATCCCAGGACCCTGGAATCATGACCTGAGCCCAAGGCAGATGCTTAACCAGCTGAGCCCCCCAGCCGCCCCGAAATTAGTACCCTTTAAAAAAAATTCGCTTATTAAAACTTTTAAGTGTTAAGAACTAAGTTAAAATGCTAAAGAAGGTATAGTGAACATGAAAGATTTCTCCTTTTTGCCTTCCAAGAGCACTAACTGGCTAGAAAATTGGGGTCCCAGAAAAGAGCTTTACCAGTAGTTGGTCATAGAAACTCCAGATTCTGATTCTTTCCTAGACCATTTTTCCTTCTGCGTGCTCAAAAATTGGGACCAGCCTCACTGTGGCCAGTCTGACTACCAATCAAGCTTCCCTTTCTTTCCTAGGAGTGCTCGCCCTATGCAGCTCATCTCTACGATGCTGAGAACCCTCAGACACCCCTCCGGAACCTTCCTGGCCTCTGCTCTGACTACTGCTCTGCATTCCATTCTAAATGCCACTCTGCCATCTCCCTACTGACCAATGACCTTCGCCTCCAGGGGTCACATGAAAAGGATGGCGCCCATTTCTGCCACCTCCTCAACCTTCCCGACAAGGACTATTGCTTCCCCAATGTCCTGAGGAATGACCATCTCAACCGCAACCTGGGTGTGGTGGCCGAGGACCACCAGGGCTGTCTGCAGCTCTGCCTGACTGAGGTGGCCAATGGGTTGAGGAACCCTGTCTCCATGGTCCACGCTGGGGACGGCACCCATCGCTTCTTTGTGGCCGAGCAGGTGGGGGTGGTGTGGGTCTATCTACCTGATGGGAGTCGCCTGGAACAACCCTTTTTGGACCTCAAGAATATCGTGTTGACTACTCCCTGGGTAGGGGATGAGAGAGGCTTCTTGGGGTTGGCTTTTCATCCCAGATTCCACCGCAACCGCAAGTTCTATATTTATTATTCATGTCTGGGCAAGAAGAAGGTAGAAAAGATCCGGATTAGTGAGATGAAGGTTTCTCGGGCTGATCCCAACAAAGCTGACCCCAAATCAGAAAGGTGAGACATGCTCAACTCTGTACTATGCTCCAGAATAGTGTCAGTCCATCCTCTAAGATGATAAAGGGAAATGTTTCTGGTTTTAGAGCCCCTAGCTTATAACGCTGACCAAGGAGTCATCGTTGAATAATGAGGACAGACAAGTTAGACTTTTGAGTCGGGGTTCTTCATGGGGTGTAGCCATCACCCTATAGTTACCTAATCAGAGCCATACTTGCTTGTTTTTATGGAATGTAAGCAATGGCCAGCAGCCACAAAGGTTTGAGAAATGATTGTAGATAATATCAATATATTAAATATAATAGTGCCCTCTGATTATTATGTGGCCATTGGATTCCAGGCCTTTGGCCTTGAACAAGGGAATCATCCTCACAGGAGGCTGTGACCCAAGGCCATAGAGCTGTGGATGCATGGTCTGATGAAGGACTTAATTCTGTCCCTCCAAGCTCATGGTCTTTCCACTCCACCATTCTGTCTTTTTTCCTTCTTGTTCTTTCTGCCTTGTCTCTCTTTTCCCAAATAGCCAGGTTGGGGGATTGAAAAGATCATGGAGAACTAACTGATAGATTTACCCCTGCTGGTTTGCCCAAAGGAAGGGATTAAGAATTCTGGTAGAGCAGAAAGTAAGGCCCAGAAAAGAGTGATTGTTACCCTGGCTCTGTCTACGGCTCATGAAATCATGGTAGGAAAGAAAAATGATCCATGAAGGAGTCATACTGGGAAATAAGGGGTGTCTTAGCACTCCAAGCTTTGTGATTCTTGGAAACTCCGAAGCAGGTCTTGGCTGGCTTGGACCAGTCATCTCTGGGTGTCTGAAGAGGATGCAGTTTTAGCTTATATCAAAGCCTAATGCATGGTTTCTTTTCCTTCCAGAGTCATCTTGGAGATAGAAGAACCAGCCTCAAATCATAATGGCGGACAACTTCTTTTTGGTGTGGATGGCTACATGTACATATTCACTGGGGATGGAGGACAGGCTGGGGATCCCTTCGGCAAGTTTGGAAATGCTCAGAACAAGTAAGCAGGGTGGATCTGGGCCCCTGTCCCTTTAGGGTGAGCCCTTGGTATGTTTTTGCTGAGATGGAGTCTACGGAGGGTGAAACCCAAACCACTTACTTCAAGATGTAGCCCCCTCTGTTGAGGCAAGTGGGAGGAACATTTGGTTTTCTGTCCTATAAATTTTAGGCACAGTGTATTTTAGTAAGTAATACTATGGATGCTCAGTGTAACTCTCAGTGCTACGGAGACACGAATTCAGAGTGTTCAATGTATATTAGGGGGACTTTATTTACCACACCAAGATTTTACCCATTTCAGTTCAACTCAGCGATATTATTGAACACTGTGGTTCAGGCACTGTGCTAGACCCTGGAGACATGTGAGAAGGCTAGTTAATAAGCGGTATGTATTGAATGCTTACTGTGTATCAGGTATTGTTCTGAATACCTTGTGTGTCTTTAAGAATGCAATTCTATTTATTTATTTATTTGAGAGAGAGGGAGAGAGAGAGAGCAAAAGCGGGAGGGGCAGAGGGAGAGAGAAACTCCAGCAGACTCTGTGCTGAGCATGGAGCCTGATGTGGGGCTCAGTCTCACTATCTGAGCTTAAACCAAGAGTTGGACACTTAACTGACTGGGCCACCCAGGTACCCTAACATCGCACAAGGGCAGGAATTTTTATCCATTTGTTAATTGATGTATCCCTAACACCTCGAATAGTGCCTGGCATGGGAGTCACTTCAGAAATACTTATGGAATGGACGTCTCCTATGAAGTGTAGGTATTATGATAGTTATTTCACCGATGGGAAAATAGAGGCAGAGAAGTAAAGTAACTTGTTTAAGGCCATACAGCAAGTAAGTGGCAGAACCAAAATTCAAACTTGGAGCAAGCTGGTGCAAGAGCTCAGTGAGGGCCGGACTGACATAAAAGTCACATGATCCTTCCGCCCTTTGTACCAGCAAGCACTTGAATGCCATTATCCCTGGTATTAAAATATTGAAGTTATAATAATCAAGAGCTAACAGGGGTGCCTGGGTGGCTCAGTAGGTTAAGTGGCCGACTCCTGATTTTGGCTCAGGTGGGGAGTCTGCTTGCCTCTCTCCCTCTGCCCCTTCCTCCACTCTCTCTCTCTCTCAAATAAATCTTTTTTTTTTTTTAAAGATTTTATTTATTTATTTGAGAGAGAGAGAGTGTGTGAGAGAGATCACGAGCAGGGGGGAAAGGGTAGAGGGAGAAGCAGACTCCCCCCGCCGAGCAAGGAGCCCAATGTGGGACTCGATCCCAGGACCCTGGGGTTATGACCTGAGCCGAAGGCAGACGCTTAACCAACTGAGCCACCCAGGGGCCCATAAATAAATAAATCTTTAAAAAAAATAATCAAGAGCTAACATTTGTCAAATGCCTACTGTTGTGAATTGTTTCACCTGCTACACGGAAGGTAACTCACTTAACCCTTACAACCACAACCACACTTCGAGGTAATGTTTCTCTCTCCTGCTTTACAAATGAGGAAACTGAGACCCAGAGGCCACAGTCACTGGCAGAGCCTCGCGAAAAGCTCTGATCTTTTTCTATGACCACAGTGCTCTATGAGGAAGAAGAAGCCAACTCCTTTTAAAATGCATAGTATTAGTGGCCATCAGCAGCAAATATCACTAAAATCAGAACACTACAGAGAAGGTTAGCATGGTCTCTCTGCAAGAGTGATGCACACATTCATGAAAAGTTTCATACTAAAAAAAAAATTCATAGTGTTAAACCAAACCTGAGAGAAACCACCTCATCAAAAACATTTTTAAAAATTGAAGCTGTAGCTGGCTTGCTCAGGGTCTTATGGGCCAGGACCCCATCAAACTTTTGCCTACTAGTTCTCCTTGAGCCAAAACTTGGCAAGTCTTAACATTTTGCATAGATCTATATACCTATCTAACCTATCTATCTATATATATCATATAGACATGACTTTATGTATATATCTTGTATATATCTGTAAAAAATCATGTCTTCCCATGTGATTCTTAGTAGTTGTTTTGTCATTGACCATCAGTAGGTCCTCCTGGGCAGTCTCTGGTCTGGTGCCATTTTATTTTATCTTCTATTTAGTTTTAGTTAGTTTTTATTTTATTTAGTTTTAAATTTTGAATACTTAACACCAAATCTACCCTCTTAAAAAAATTTAAGTGTAAAAAAAATTGTAAGTGTAAATACAGTATTGTTAATGATAGGGACAAACGTACAGCAGATCTCTAGAACTTACTCATCTTGTAAACAAATGTCCAACAGGTGTATGAAATGATGCTCAGTGTCACTCATCATCAGGGAAATGCAAATCAAAACCGCAATGAGATACCACCTCCTATCTATTAGGATGGCTCTCTACCTCCCCCCAACCCTCAAAGGAACCAAACACAAAAGACAGCAAGTGTTGCTGAAGATGCGGAGAACTTTGTACACTGTTGGTGGGAATGCAAAATAGTGCAGCCGCTCTGGAAAACAGTATGGAGAGGCTGCGAAAACATTAAAAACATATAAAACTAGCCAATGAGCCGGCAATCCCATTTCGGGGTACTTATCCTGCGCCTGTTTCCCGGCCCCCTTTCTTTCAGAAGTTCCCTGCTGGGGAAAGTGTTAAGGATCGATGTGAACAGGGCAGGCTCAGACGGCAAGCGGTACCGAGTGCCCCCGGACAATCCGTTTGTGGCTGAACCAGGGGCCCATCCTGCGGTCTATGCCTATGGGGTCAGAAACATGTGGCGCTGTGCCGTGGACCGAGGGGACCCTGTCACGCGCCGGGGCCGAGGCCGGATATTCTGTGGGGACGTGGGACAAAATAGGTTTGAAGAAGTCGACATCATTGTGAAAGGCGGGAACTATGGCTGGAGGGCCAAGGAAGGGTTTGAATGTTACGACAGAAAGCTTTGTCACAATGCCTCTTTGGGTAAGTCAGAAGTTCTCCGGGTGATTTCTTGAGTGAATTGAGGGGGCGGACGTGGAGGTGGGGGGATACGACCTGAGAGTGTTGTGCCCTGCAGATGGCTCGGGGGTCTTCCTTTATGTCCTGTGGGATTGTGTTCTCAGGTTGGCGCTCCAGCCGCTGGACCAGAAACACGCTGGGTAGTGCTTGTTGACCTGATGCATTTGAATCTTGGGTGGATTCAGGAACTGGGATTGGCCGAGGAATCTATATTTTAGATAAATTACCCACATGATTTTTAGGCATGCTATTTCGAGAACCACTAGTAGAGGAGAATTGGTGGCTCTGTGTTTTTAATTTATTCCTATTTGGCACAGCCCACTGAAACGACATCCCGTATGCAGTCAGGTGACATATTCCATATACAAACCCTAAATGTCAGTAATCAAGATGTGCTTTTCTGGGGTACCTAGGTGGCTCAGTCGTTAAGCGTCTGCCTTCGGCTCGGGTCATGGTCCCAGGGTCCTGGGATGGAGCCCCACATCGGGCTCCCCGCTCAGCAGGAAGCCTGCTTCTCCCTCTCCCACTCCCCCTGCTTGTGCTCCCTCTCTTGCTGTGTCTCTCTCTGTCAATAAATAAATAAAATCTTAAAAAAAAAAAAGATGTGCTTTTCAGGCATATTTTATCACAGGTGCTTCATCTTTTTGGGTTCTCTAAGTTACAAAGGAGTCTTAGAGACCCTCACAAGTTTTTAAAATCCTTAAGCCTGAGTATCTGCCATGTCAGCCTAGGGGATAAACGTAGGTGTGTGGATTCCCAGGTCACTGCCTCACAGGTGGGGGAGTTTTTGGCTCCCTTTCTGCCTGCAGAGACCAGGCAGATGGGAAGCTCACAAATATTGTGGCTGGTCTGTTGAGAAAAATAAACCTGATTCTTTTGGCTGCCTGTGCTACCAAAGATCAAGAGAGAAACCGTTCTCCACCCAATCAGGCAACTACATTTGAAAGTCCCCGTCTTCCTCCTTGAAGCTCAATTTTTTTTTTTTAAGAGAGAGAGAAAGTGTGTGTGCATGCATGAGCAGTGTTGCGGGGTGGGGGTGGGGGTGTGTGTGTGGAGGGCAGCAGGAGAGGGAGAAGGAATCCCAAATAGGCTCCGGGCTCAGTGTAGTCTGACAGGGGGCTCGATCTCACAACCCCGAGATCATAACCTAAGCCGAAATCAAGAGTCAGATGCTTAACCAACTGAGCCACCCAGGCACCTGAAGGTCGCAGTTTTCAGCTATGACACTTTTTGTTCCTGGACAGGTGACACTCTACCAATCTATGCTTATGGCCATGCAGTGGGGAAGTCAGTCACTGGAGGATATGTCTACCGTGGGTGTGAATCCCCAAATCTCAATGGCCTCTACATCTTTGGGGATTTCATGAGTGGGTAAGAAAGGATTGATGTCTCCTTTTTTTTTATTTCAGCATTTTTATGGAGATATAAATTACATGTGGTGAGATACAGTCTCTAAGAGCACAGTTGGATAAAGTTTTACAATATATACACTTGGAACTATGTTAAGATGCAGAACATTTCCATCACTCTGGAAGGTTCCTTCTTGCCTATTAGCCTGTCAGTACCACCCCTTTCTTTCTCACACTCAACACACCAGCACATCAGCCAGAGGTAACCACTCCCATCACATTAATTTTGTTTCTGGAACTTAATATAAATGGAATCATACATATGTATTTTTTTGTACATATATGGCTTCTTCATTCAATAACATCAGTGAAATTCATCACTGTTGTCACATGTCAGTTTTTCTCTTTTACTGCTTTGTAATATTCAAGTGCATGAATATAACACCAGTTATTCATGTATTCTCCTGTTTTGGCTATTTCCAGTTTTTTTTTTTTTTTTTTTAAGATTTTATTTATTTATTTATTTGACAGAGACAGAGATAGCGAGAGCAGGAACACAAGCAGGGGGAGTGGGAGAGGGAGAAGCAGGCTTCCCGCGGAGCAGGGAGTCCGATGTGGGACTCGATCCCAGGAGCCTGGGATCATGACCTGAGCCGAAGGCAGACGCTTAACGACTGAGCCACCCAGGCGCCCTATTTCCAGTTTTTTACTACATATTTATTATATATTTGTTACGTATATTTCAGTGTGTGTGTGTGTGTGTGTATTGAGCTTATATCCAGCAACCTTGTCTAACTCTTATTAACTCTATTGGCGTGTGTGTATGTGTGTGTAGATTCTGTTGGATTTTCTGTGTAGAAGACCATTTTGTCTGTGAATATAGATACATTTACTTTTTCTTTTCCTGAATTGCAAAGCTTTTATTGTTATTCTCTTGACTTACTGCTTCATCTTAAACGTCCGTACAATGTTGGATAGAAGGCTTCCATTTTCACCAATGAGTATGATGTCAGTTGTAGATATTTGTACATGCCCTCTACCAGGTGAAGTTTTCCTTCCATTCCTAGTTCACCGAGAGTTTGTATTGAGTATGGATGTTATGTTTTGTCAAATGCATCTGTGCATCTAGTGAGAGAATCATGTGGTTTTCTCATTTTTAGTTTTTAATATAGTGAATTATATTGATTTTCTTTTATCATTGAAGCAATCTTGCATTTCTGGAATAAACACCACTTGGTCATGATGTATTTTCCTTTTAATACATTGTTGGATTGGATTTGCTAACATGTTGGAAAATTTTGCATCTGTGTTCATGAAAGGGATTTCTTTCTTGGAATATCTTTGCCAGATTTTGGCATCAGGATAATGCAGGCTTTATTTTATTTTTTTAAGATTTTATTTATTTATTTGACAGAGCAAGAGAGCACAAGTAGGGGAACAGTAGAGGGAGAGGGAAAAGCAGACTTCCCGCTGAGTAGGGAGCCTGATGTGGGGCTAGATCCCAGGACCCTGGGATCATGACCTGAGCGGAAGGCAGACGCTTAACCTTAACGCTCAGATGAGCCACCCAGGCGCCCCTAGGATAATGCAGGCTTTAATAGAATGAGTTGGGAGAGTATCTCCTTTTCTTCAATTGTCTGAAAGAGTTTGTATAAAATAGGTATTATTTCTTTATATGTTTCTTCCAGGTGAAGCCATCCAGGTTTAAAGTTTTCTTGTAGACAACGTATAGTTGTGTCTTGTCTGGCGATTTTTTCTGTCTTTTTTTGTTAAAGATTTTATTTATTCATTTATTAGAGAGAGAGGGAGAGAGTGAGAGAGAGAAAGCAGGGGAAGGAGAAGAGGGAGAGGGACAAGCAGACTCGATGCTGTGTTTAGGCCGATGTGGGGCTTGATCTCAGGACCCTGAGATCATGACCTGAGACAAAATCAGTCGAGGCTTAACCAAATGAGCCACTCTGGCACCCCCGTTATTTCTTCTGTCTTCTAATTGGTGCATTTAGACCATTAACAATCAAAGTGGTTATGGACACAGTTGGATTAATATCTACCATATTTATTATTGCTTTCTATTTGTTGCTCTTGTTCTTTGTTCTGTTTTTTTTTTTTTTTAAAGATTTTATTTATTTATTTGAGAGAGAGAATGAGACAGAGAGAGAGAGCATGAGATGGGGGAGGATCAGAGGGAGAAGCAGACTCCCTGCCGAGCAGGGAGCCAGATGCGGGACTCGATCCCGGGACTCCAGGATCATGACCTGAGCCGAAGGCAGTCGCTTAACCAACTGAGCCACCCAGGCGCCCTCTTTGTTCTGTTTTTGTCTTTGACTCTTTTTCTGCCTTTTGTGGATTTAACTGAGCATTCTATAGAGTTCCATTTTCTCCCCTTTCTTAGCACATCAATTATACTTTTTTTTT